ATGTGTAGAGTCGCCTCTTGTGTTGTTGGAAAAGAGTTTTTGTGATGACCAGCTTGTTCTCTTGACAAAACTCAATTAGTCTTTCCCTTCTTCATTGTAAATTCCAAAGCCAAACTTACCTGTTGTTCCTTTTATCTCTTGACTCCCTATTTTAGCATTCCATTCCCTATAACGACAAGAACATCATCCTTTGGAGTCAGTTCTAGAAGGTGTTGTAAGTCTTCATATGAGGGGGTGCTGATAAGTATTGAGCCTTTCCCAGAAAAAAATGAGCTAGGAAGCTGTAACTGCCACACTATTCTACATATTCCCCCAGGAAGTCAATGCACTTGCGACATCTGTCCTGCAGCTTCTTAAGTCCCTGCAAATAAAATTCTTCCGACTGCTCATATAACCACTCATTTGCAGCAGTAGTTGCCTCCAGAACACTCCCAAATCATTGTCCCTTTAGGTGTTTTTTGAGTTTGGGGAACAGATTATAGTCAGAAGGAGCCAGGTCAGGAGAATAGGGTGGATGGGACATCACTTGAAAGCCTAAGGAGGTCAGTTTTGTTATTTCACCTGCAGTGTGTGATGAGGCATTGTCATACAACAGGATGACACCTTTGGAGAGCTTTCCTCGACGTTTTTCCTTGATGTTTTGTCTCAATTTCGACAATGAAGCACAGTAATATTTTGCATTGATGGTTGAACCCTGTTGGAGGTAGTCCACCAGCAGAACTCCCTTCTTATCCCAAAAAACTGTTGCCATTTGCTTCTGCACCGACCTTTGCACTTGGAACTTCTTTGGCCTGGGGGAACCACTGTGCCTCCATTCCTTAGACTGTTCCTTTGTCTGAGGATCATAACATTAGATCCATGTCTCATCACCAGTTACCAGTTTGCCCAGGAAATCTGACTCATTTCTTTCAAAATGTTCCAAAATAGCCACCGATGACTCCACACATTTCCTCTTATGTTCAGTTGTCAAAAGTTTGGAGATCCACTTTGCTGCCAGCTTTCTCATTTCAAAGTCCTTGTAGATAATGGCACCAACTCGCCCATGTGATATTCTTAGATACATAGCAATACTTTTGGCTGATATTCAGCCATCCTCCATGATCATGTCATGGATGGCATTCACATTTGCAGGCACAGAGACAGAAACATGCCTTCCACTGGGTTTCTCACTTTCAACAGTTTTAAAATTGACAAGCCAACATTTAACTGTTGCATATGAAGGGCCACTGTCACCTATAGTTTGCGACATTTCATCATGGATCTGCTTTTCACCTTTCCCTTGGAGAAACAGGAACTTGATTATGGTCCTATGCTCTTCCACACGGAACTTTTCTGGAGGTGCTGCCATGTTCACTTTGGACCTGAACATGAAAGATAAGTTAAAATCATAGGTAGTTGTTTTTGCCCCATTGAATACAGACAAATTGGCCAATACATCCTGCAATTTATAGCTTCCTAGCTCAATGTTTTTCTGGGAAAGGCCCAATACTTATCAGCACCCCCTCGCAGAATAGGTCAATTTCAGCCTCTTCAGCATTGGTGGATGGTGTATAAACTTGGCTTACTGTGATGTTGAAAGAGCTGCCTTGGATTCGTGTTGAAATCATTCTATCATTTTTGAAATTGTATCCCAGTACAGCTTTTTCCACTCTTTTGTTGACTATGAGGGCTACTCCATTTCTTTTACGGGCTTCTTGCCCACAACAGCAGATATGGTAATCATCTGAATTGAATTCACCCATTCCCATCCATTTTAGTCTGGACTAGTCCTTTAATTATAAGAATAATCCACCTTCTCCAGTGTTGTGGTTCCATTGTTCTCTCCACTTTTACCTCTCTTCCTATTAGTTCTTTCTTCTTCCTGGATTAGTTACATGAGTGATTTTATCTAATAGGGATTATGAATGGGATTACATGACAGTGCTAAGTAGTTGATCATATTTGGCTATAAGATAAAAATAACTGAGGGTAAACAATGTAAACCGAAACAAAGAAAGGGTAGGCACATAGGAGGCAACAAAACCACAAGTAAGAATACCTTTTGAAGCACTTCTGAAAAACAACGTTTTTAAACACAGGGAATTTCTGAACGCTAAGAATGTTCCTGAAATATAGTGATTAGCTTCAGCTCAGCCATATTTACTGTCTTATTTTGAATCAATACAAAATTCTGTGCAGGTCCTAAGGGCATAACTATCTGTCGACTTGGTAAAAATAATTTCTCAGCAAAATTACTTTTAATATGTGAGGAGAGTACATAAAACAATGTCTCTACTAACTCAGTGGCAAACCCCTTTTTTAAACCTTTCGAAAGAGTCACTTTCTGTTCTCAACTATGAATTAAAGACTGCATCACAATAATTATACATGTTTATCATCAAAGAATCCACAATATAAGTGTAATACGTTTGCAATGGGAAACGTCAAAACATTTTGACTTTGTTGCACATATAAAGATATCTGAACAAATGGCTGCTGCATCTTCTGGGTTGCCTATCAGGCTACAGAACCAACTGATAGCAGGCATATGACAGTCTAGTAAACAACTCACATAACTTGCATAATTGCCCCTACGTAACTGTGTAAGCAAAAGGTTTTTACTCCAAAGTTTAAGTTTTCAGGAAGAAGTTGGCACATCCACACAGGGGAATATTTACTGATAGCATAGAACTAAATGGATATCTAAATCTATCCTCGAAAGTAAACAGGGAAAGCCAATATCACTCATTCATATCTATCAACAGATATGATAGATATGAATAGTTGACACTGGCTTTCCCAGTTTCATATTTATCAACAGATATGAATTGCTTGGTCAAGTAGTGTGATTATAAAACCACAATTGTAATAGCTAATTTTGCTTTAATTAACATAAACATTAACGGACAAATTAATGTATAGTTAAGAGTTATTTAAGGGGTAGTGTGGCAATCTATTTCTGAACAGTCCTACGAGCCTGGCTGCTGAGCAGACAAGGAAAATAGCAGATTGATCAGTAACACTGAGAGCAGATTCTACCACTTTGAGCCTTATACAAAGCATAGACCCCAAAAAATGGTTTTTTTAAAATTGGATTTTGTGTACTTACAGTTAAACTGCTTTTTATTTTAAAAGCCTTCTGTGATAACAGCAGCAATTTAAAATGCACTGTAGATCAAAAATCTCAGTATGGAATAGGGATTATAAATTATAATTCTATTATTACGAGACTATTCATTCACATAATCTCTTCAAAAAACTTTTGTGAATAGGGTCCAACTTCTCTTGGATTGTGTCTGTTTCAGAGGGTTCCACAGGTTTTTGTAGAGATTATATAGGACAATCTATCTCCTCTTAGTCTAGTATTCAAACTGGAAAATCCCATGAGAAAATGTTGCAGTTCTCGCACAGGGTTTGTCTCACAATTACATATAAACCTATTAGCTCTGTTTTCATGCTGATGTTATTTCTGGACCTTCTGCCTGCTTTAACACAATGTGAGGTAGGAAATTCTTATTAAATTATCCAGAATTGCTTTCAATAGTTTCCTTGAGCAATGCTGATTCCTTTAAGGTAGCAAACCTAGCTATTTTCCTCTGCAACTCTGTGTCAATGAAATTAAGCTCTTATCTGCACCAATATAAAATGCATATTTTCAGATACTGGGAGTGTCGATGAACAGAGGACTATTGGAAATGGAATAAATCAGGGCAAGGAGAGTGTGAAAAATAGCATACTTTGGAAAATATGCATTAAGGATATAGCAAGCAAGAGTGTACTTTTGAGAGGTGGAGATTACAGGATTAAATTGCTTGACCAAGCAATTCATATCTGTTGATAAATATTTGAGAGGTGGAGATTACAGGATTAAATTGAGTCTGATTAGTGATTTAAATTATAATTTAAATCAAAACCACACTGCTTCTACATCACCAGCTCATTAGAGATGGTATGCAATGTCACTCAGTATCTACTACAATCAAATGTATTAGGGTAAAGTCTTAGAGAACAGTGCTTTACAACCCTGGCTACCTTTCTGTTTGCAGAGTAGGACTCACAGATTAGCATGTAATCAGAAAAGGATGAAGAGACATCAAGATTCTGTCCCTCCACTTAAAACCAAACAGTTCATCCTTGATTATCTTATTCCCTTTCATTTCATCTCAAGGTTTTTATTCATTTGTTTCTTTAAGTTCAAAACACCAAAAAGACCTTCAGTCTATCATAATCTTCACAACTGTAGCTGACAGAACAACACAATGCAGCTTATCAACATTATTTTCTCTTTCAAGTGCTGCAACAATCATGTCCACATTGTACCATGCAACAACTTTCCCTCTTTACTGAAAGGATGTTGCATTTTCCCATAAAGACACATACATGTTGTGAATGTGCATGTCTCATACATGCAAAGTTTAAAACAAGATTCTTTGGGGAGAATTGTTATACTAGATTTGTTTTGAGATGCTGACAGCAATTGCTATAGCCAGGCTGCCGAAACATCTAAAGCCTGGCCTTTAATAATCACCAAAGTAATATAGCACCAGACCACATCTGAGCAGGGACTCCCAATAGTGTCACAGTGTGTCAAACTGTAGGATTGTTATGGGATGTGAGCAAATGACCACACTTGTTTTACCCAATCAAATCTGAATTAGGCTCTAGATGCATGTCTCCTGTGTATTAACCCATTGGCCTTCCTGTTATTACCACTACCACAGACCTTCACACTTGAAGGCTAATTTTAATTTAGCAATTTGAGTTTCTGGTACAGAGCTTTCTACACATTGTCCCACTCTCCCTTCTGATGAGCCTTGTTTGAACTTTTACTCACAAGGAGTGCAAAGAAGACATACACATAACATGCAGACACACAATACATACAAATAAAGAGATGCAGTGAGTATCTGATCACGCAGCACCATGAGGGTGTTGAACTTATGTATACTTCACTAATGAAACAAGCACAAATTTCTGATGCAAGCCCCCAAAAGAGATGAGAAACAGTAATACAGTCCAACCTGCTTTAGCCATGCTTGGTATCCGGAAGATGTAAGCTGAAATCCATCTTTAGGCATGTGTATTCTGGGCTAGGAGAGAATAGACATAAGAGACCTCCTTTTACATTGTGACCTGGCTAACCTAACCATTCTTTCCAGGTCATGGTAAACACCAAACACAATTTTATACATATAATGATTTGTCCTTAAGGCATACTGAGGAAGGTTATTACTCAAGAGTTTTCAGAGCAACAGAACTGCAGGTTCAGAAGAACTGTGAAGATAATTTAGTACACAGGATTCTGCAGAGCTAAATATCTAATATAATGTAACAGTAAATTTGAAGACTTTAAAAAGACAGTAGTGAACATTAAGCAAAGCCTGAGCATCTCCTTATATATACTATGTCTATTATTACTGGGATCGAAAGGTCTGATCCGGATCATTTCATTTAAAACAAACTTGGTATCTGACTGCTTCCCATTTACATTTGCAAAGTAAAGGACACATGAAAACAGTCTTCTGCTTCCACAGATCTGATTTAAAGGCCAAACAAAACAATGTGAGAATTCCATATGAAGGATTCGTTAAAAATACTGAAGCATAAAAAAAAATAACTGGTTGCTTACCTGTAACTGTTGCTCTATGAGTGGTCATCCATAGATCCACACAAATGAGTTTGCATGTGTGTAGAGTCACGTTCTGGAACATTTACCAGCTAGGCTTTCTGGCAGTAATCCCACCATATCTACCCTCTGCATATATAAGTGTGCCCCAACCAGCAGCCCTCAATTCCATCTGCTGAAGAAAAACATAACAAGACACTGAGGAGCGGAGAGGAGGATGTGTGAATCCACAGATAACTACTTAAAGAACAGTTACAGGTAAGCAATGTTGTTCTTCTTTGTTGTCTCTGTGGATCATACAAATAGGTAGACTGCAAGCTAACTTACTAGAGGCAGGAGAGTCACTGTAAGACAGATGAGAGCACAGTCCTCCTGAAATGTGTCATCTCTGGCTCTCACATCCAATCAATAATGCTTGATGAAGGTAGATGGTTGAGACCAGGTGATAGCTTTACAGAAACGGTGCAGGGTAATACCCCTGAGAGCTGCAGAAGAAGCAGCAAAAGCTCTAGTTGAATGTACCTTCAGACATAAAGGTGTTTGAAGGCCTGCTAATTGATAAGTCAGAGTGATACACTCTGTGACCGAATGTGCTAAGCACTGTGATGAAAGTTGGATGCCTTTTCTTTAACCTCCATTACAAACAAAAAGATGGCCTGATTTACTACAAAAAAGAGCAGTTCACAGATAGAATGCAAATGCTATCTAACATCCTACACGTGTAAAGGCATGCTCAGGCATGCTCCAGAGGCAAGGTAAGATAATGGAAGAAAGCTAGCATTATGTCTTGGTTGGAACGGAATGTTGAAACCTCCTTTGGGACAAAGGATATGTCAGGATGGAGTACAACTTTCCCACATGAAAGACAGGAAAGGCAGATCAATTCTGAATACACAAAGTTCAGATGTGTGCTGGGTGAACGTTAGCCACTTAAAAGGAGTAAGTAGAAAGCATAGTTTGCTAGAGGCTCAAACTGATGTTTCATGAGTAGAGACAAAACAAGCTGGAGAGAACAAGATGGTAATGGATGTCAAACTTGAGGAATCACATTAAGTCCTTTTTTAAATCTCTGTACAACAGGGTAGGTGAATAAGGAACAGGAATCCATGAAACTAGATCTCTTAGCTGATATAGCAGCGAAACTTTAATAGACAAGTATGAAAGTCCCTTGTATTTTAGAAATAGAAGAAAATGAAGAATGTCAGAAATGTCATAGGAAAATGGTGAGAAATTGCTCTTGAGCAAACTTTGCAAAAGCTGTCCATTTGTCATCACAGAACGTATGGGTAAAAGGTTTCTTGGCTGCTTGAATCACTTCCTTAATTTCAGATTGTAGGGATTGAGGGGTTATATCTAGAGGCTATTAATTGGCGAGATTCATCTATGGGCCTGAGGCAATAGGTCTGTTCCGCTCAAAACATGAATAAACCTGTTGCAGAATGGACAAAGAAGGGTCACAAATCATGGTTCCCTAAGCCACTAGGGAATGATGACAGTGGCCTTGGTCTTGAACCTGGCAATATGTGCTACAGAAGGATCAACAGGCAAGGAGAGAAAGAGGATCAACAGGAAAGGAGAGAACATGTACAGGAGGCCCTCCTTCCAAGGAATCATGAAAGTTTATCATCCTTGAGAGTACCCACCCACTCCTACTATGGTACAAAAAAATGGGGCACTTGGCATTCTGGGTAGATGCAAAAGTATCTATCATGGAGGAGCTCCATATGCTTGCCAGATAAGTGAAAACCTCTTGTCTGAATTCCCACATGTGGATCATGCAGGCTGATCAACAAGGCGTTGTCTAAGATGTTTGAGTGGATAGCTGCAGGATGGAAGCACTGCAAATGCATCAACACCAAAGGGACAGTGTGAAGTTGAAGTTAGTTAAGAACCAGCATTGCAGAGCTCACATGTGAAGATGAGCAAATGGTGTGATAGACATCATTGATGCCATATGGCTGAGCAGTTTCTGTATTATAAAGATAGAAAATGTGGAGTTCTGAATGACTTTCATAGCCAATCTTGAATGCCTTGTCTAGGGGAAAAATAGTCTGGCTTACATGGGAGTCCAAGAGAATTCCAGTGTAAGTGACGGAACAAGGTGGGACTTCTCTTTGACTAACAGTCCAAGCTTGGGAAGAAATGAGAGGATGTAGAAAACATGACACTTCAGAGGGTTTTGTCACCTTGCTTCGAGCAACCAATCATCCAAACAGGGGGAGATGATAATACAACTTCATAGGAAGCCACCACAGGGGCCATCCATTTAGTAAAAATCCTGGACACTGTGGCCAGATCAAACTGGAATAGCTAGTACAGTATTGTCCCAGAGTGAAATGGAGGTATTGATTGTGGGCTGGGCTGGTGGTAATGTGAAAATAAATCTACTACTACAAACCACCCCAATCTCCATGATGGAGCAGAGGGGTGATGTTGGCAAGGGTTACCATTCATAAGATTTTTTGGATTGATGATGGGATTTAGGTGCTGTAGATCCAAAATGAGTCTGAGGCCTCCATAGTGTTTGGGAACCATGAAGTAACAGTAGAAAAAAAACTACTGTGGAACACTGGCAAAGAAAACGAAGAGATATTAAATCTCCTCTTGGAGAGGAACCAATGCAATGCTGGAACAAAATACACTGGGAGGAGGTAAAATACTTGATGGCATAGCCTTTATGATCAATGGTGAGCACCCATTGATTGGTGGTGATGGTCCACCAAGGTGTTAAATGGTGCAAGAGAGACAGGGTGAGCTGGTAGGTAGGACCGACAGTGGGAGAAAAGAGTACTGATCAAAATCAGAATTTAAGATGCAAATGAAAATTATTTGGCTCTGGAGGTTGAAGACATGTTTTGGACTGTTTGTAGGACTATCATTATGTTTGTTATGGAACTGAAGAACAGGACAGTTGAGGAGAAAAACAATGTATCTGAGCCGAATAACACATGTGACATCAGATCTGTTTATGGGGGTGGTGTGAAGGGCCTATTTACCTGGCCACACATGTGACATCAGATCTGTTTATGGGGTGGTGTGAAAGGCCTGGCTGTGGTATGGGACTTGACCAGGTGGCCCATGACATAATCCATGGTGGCATTAGAGAGATTATTTCCATCAAACATGAGGCCCTTTACCTAGGCTCCATAAGTTTTCTTGTATATTAGTGTAGAGAGCCACAAGTGTCTGCCTGCGAACAGCTACTGTGCCAGCAATGATATCTGATGCACGGTTAGCTAAGTGTCATGCTGTTTTGATTTGGTGACCAATCAGTCGATGCAATTCTTGATAGAAAGAAAGAGCTAGGAGCTTTTGACTTTCTGACAACTGATGGAGGAGAGACTCCAATTTTTCCGAAAGGAGTTGTAGATATGCTGCCTGGTAATTAAATTTCTTCTCTATCCACCAGTGAGGAGTGCGGTTTCTGTTTTCCTTTTGTTTGGGCTGTCCTAACCACAATTGTTGGGCTTGGCATAGTGAAAGAAGGAGGAAGCTCCATCTTCTTAAATGCAAATTATCTGTCCTTCACAATGATGGTGGGATGGATGAAGGCTTGGCCCAAGACTTCTTAATTAGAGTTGAAAGGGCTGGTAAGAGTGGCAAGAGCACTGGCATAAAGACTCATGGTTGTTCCCTTGCAAAAAGAAGGATAGTCAGAGGAGGTTCCTTCATGTCGATCCCAAAGGATCATGCAAGTCAAAGAATTTGATCAGCACAGAGATGAAGGTCCTCTGATGGAGAGAATGTAGTTGAGTCCACAACAACTGGGTCTGAAGATGAGACCCTGGCAAAGGAGAAGGGGATTAAGTGGGGCTCAAACAGCCCTTCATCTTCAGATTCAGAGCAAGGAGGTGAATCTGAAGGCTTTTATATGTCAACATGGTGTGACTGCTCCATTAAGAAATGTTGTAACAGGGCCTCAAGAGCCATAGTGATACGCAAAGAAACAGGTGGGGTGTGCAAGGTGATCTGATAGGCAGATAAAGTTATGATCACATAGATTGAACTTTTTGAGCAACTTGTGATGGTCAAAGTGGAAGGGCATGGTGAGGAGACAAAGCTGGACAGGGATCTTGTCAATACAGGTTCCAAATGTGATTATGAGATAAGAAAACAGTATGAGGTATGAAGCTGAGGTGACTGATATCAAGCTGACTGGTGCCAAGTGGAACAGCAGAACGTAGAACAGCTATCAGGTGAGTATCAAGGTGAGAAACCTCATTGATATTGAGAAGCACAAGATCTGGAGTGTGAGGAATCAGTGCAGCCAGAGTAGTCAGAGACATCTAATATTTGTGCACAGGATCTGCCATGTAGTATTGAGAATGACAGATTTGAGCAGGAAACCGGTGACAATGTGAAGTAGAGGGAAAAGGCTGATATATAAAAAAATGAATTAGACTTCTCCCTCCAAACCAGACAGGATATCCACAGGCTCTATTGTAGATGTAAATAGACGGTAAA